ATATTCGAACATAACATACATAATAGTAGAATCCGGATGGAGCAGTAGATTGAGAAATTTAACTTTTTCATCATGATTATACTATATAACGATAGATACAAGATACCGATATTGGATAAGTATCACGTGATTAGAATCGAAATCGAAACTGGTGGATTCAAATTCTTGCATAAAGTTGATGTTTTTCATCGCTTATAAATAAACGAGAATAAATACACTTTCACAGTTAAAGGAACTGGAACCTCAGAATGACGTGGAGATTTTAGTAATTTAAATGCCATTGTGTAACGACTGTGTCACCCAATTCGTATTTCGAGAGCGTCATCTGTTTTAATTGCTAACGTGTAAACAATCAATAAAGTAATTTCGCCCGCCCATCCACATCGCGACGCATTGGTGGTTCAGTGGTAGAATTCTCGCCTGCCACGCGGGAGGCCCGGGTTCGATTCCCGGCCAATGCAATCCTTCTCTTTTAAAGAATTGAATATCGAATAACCCTAATAGGAAACCCCCAGAAACTCAGCATCCTACAGCTCTAATTATAGCCATACGTATTAATAGCAAGAGTCCCATACTTCCATGCACGGCCTGGTTCGAAGTAAACATACTTTCGTTTGTTAATTGATCATTAAAAATTTTCATATGATGAAAAGCATTTTATTCGACTCTTGGATGAAAAATCATACAATTAATATCATATTGCACTCGAATTAATACAAGGAGGAATTATATGAAAAAAATATTGAAAAGTCACTCCTACTTATTACTCATGCCAGGCTACAAAATTTAAGTAAGGATATGAAATATATCAATAATAAAGTACGCATCAACATCAAACGGTAGCGCAGCAAGAGGGATTCGGGACCGAACGTAACAGAAAGCAGTCGCGTTGGAGTTTCCGAGCTGCCGACTGTGTAATGTAGAAACGATAACCTGGCTGCACCTCTGATTTAAACAAAATTAGACTAATAGAAAGTGATTATAACTCTAATGATAACAATACGAAGTATTGGAATGTGTGAGATTTTTATATCCGAATAGTTTGGCCTTTCACAATAATTTTGCTATTTTCTGAAATGACAAACAGCGAAGGCGTGACAATCTTATAGTGTAAATTAGGATTTTATTTATGAGACAAAGTGAACTCTATAAAAAACAGTAAATTTTAATATATGAATCCTTACAAAAATCCAAAAATATTGAAATTTCGAATTTCATTTATTATCTCCGGCAATATTGCTACAAAGGCATATATTCGAACATAACATACATAATATTAGAATCCGGCTGGAGCAGTAGATCACGTGATTGGAATCGAAATCGAAACTGATGGATTCAAATTCTTGATTGAAGTTGATGTTTGTCATCGCACTTAAATGGACGGAAATAAATGCACTTCCCCGTTGAAGAACTGAAACCTCAGAATGACGTGAAGATTTTAGTAATTAAAGTGCCACTATGTGACGACTGTGTCGCCCAATTCGTATTTCGAGAGCGTCATCTGTTTAATTGCTAACGTGTAAACAATCAATAAGGTAATTTCGCCCGCCAATCTACATCGCGGTGCATTGGTGGTTCAGTGGTAGAATTCTCGCCTGCCACGCGGGAGGCCCGGGTTCGATTCCCGGCCAATGCAATCCTTCTCTTTTAAAGAATTGAATATCGAATAACTCTAATAGAAAACCCCCAAATACTCAGCATCCTACACTTAAAAGCATTTTATTCGACTATTGGATGAAAAATCATACAATTAATATCATATTGCGCTCGAATTAATACAAGGAGGAAATATATGAAAAAATATTGAAAACTCACTCGTACTGATTACTCATGCCAGGCTACAAAATTTAAGTAAGGATATATTCGATTTTAAAATATATCAATAATAAAGTACGCATCAACATCAAACGATAGTGCAGCAAGAGGGATTCGGGACCGAACGTAACAGAAAGCAGTCGCGTTGGAATTTCCGGGCCGCCGACTGTGTAATGTAGAAACGATAAACTGGCTGCATCCCTGATTTAAACAAAATTAGACTAATAGAAAGTGATTATAACTCTAATGATAACAATACGAAGTATTTGAATGTGTGAGATTTTTATATCCGAATGGTTTGGCGTTTCACAATAATTTTGCTATTTGTCTGAAATGACGAAAAGCGAGGGCGTGACAATCCTATAGTGTAAATTAGGATTTCACTCCTGAAACAAAGTAAACTCTACAAAAACAGTAACTTTTAATATATGAATCATTACAAAAATCCGAAAAATTTGAAATCCCGAATTTTTATTAGAAAACTCCGGCTGTATTGCTACAAAAGCATATATTCGAACATAACATACATAATAGTAGAATCCGGATGGAGCAGTAGAATGGAAAATTTAAATTTTTCATCATGATTATACTATATAACGATAGATACATGATTCCGATATTGGATAAGTATCACGTGATTAGAATCGAAATCGAAACTGGTGAATTCAAATTCTTGCATAAAGTTGATGTTTTTCATCGCTTATAAATAAACGAGAATAAATACACTTTCACAGTTAAAGGAACTGAAACCTCAGAATGACGTGGAGATTTTAGTAATTTAAATGCCATTGTGTAACGACTGTGTCACCCAATTCGTATTTCGAGAGCGTCATCTGTTTTAATTGCTAACGTGTAAACAATCAATAAAGTAATTTCGCCCGCCTATCCACATCGCGACGCATTGGTGGTTCAGTGGTAGAATTCTCGCCTGCCACGCGGGAGGCCCGGGTTCGATTCCCGGCCAATGCAATCCTTCTCTTTCAAAGAATTAAATATCGAATAACCCTAATAGGAAACCCCCAGAAACTCAGCATCCTACAGCTCTAATTATAGCCATACGTATTAATAGCAAGAGTCCCATACTTCCATGCACGGCCTGGTTCGAAGTAAACATACTTTCGTTTGTTAATTGATCATTAAAAATTTTCATATGATGAAAACCATTTTATTCGACTCTTGGATGAAAAATCATACAATTAATATCATATTGCACTCGAATTAATACAAGGAGGAATTATATGAAAAAAATATTGAAAAGTCACTCCTACTTATTACTCATGCCAGGCTACAAAATTTAAGTAAGGATATGAAATATATCAATAATAAAGTACGCATCAACATCAAACGGTAGTGCAGCAAGAGGGATTCGGGACCGAACGTAACAGAAAGCAGTCGCGTTGGAGTTTCCGAGCCGCCGACTGTGTAATGTAGAAACGATAACCTGGCTGCACCCCTGATTTAAACAAAATTAGACTAATAGAAAGTGATTATAGGTCTAATGATAACAATACAAAGTATTGGAATGTGTGAGATTTTTATATCCGAATGGTTTGGCGTTTCACAATGATTTTGCTATTTTCTGAAATGACAAACAGCGAAGGCGTGCGTGACAATCTTATAGAGTAAATTAGGATTTTACTTATGAGACAAAGTAAACTCAATAAAAACAGTAACTTTTAATATATGAATCCTACAATACAAAAACCCAAAAAATTTAAAATTCCGAATTTCATTTAAAAATCTCCGGCAATATTGCTACAAAGGCATATGTTCGCACCTAACATACATGATAGTAGATCCGGATGAAGCAGCATATTAGAAAATTTAACTTTTTCGATCATGATTATACGATATAACGTTAGATACAAGATACCGATATTAGATAAGTATCACGTGATTGGAATCGAAATCGGAACTAGTGGATTCAAATTCTTGCATAAAGTTGATGTTTTTCATCGCATTTAAATGGACGAAAGTAAATACACTTTCCCGTTGAAGAACTGAAACCTCAGAATGACGAAGATTTTAGTAATAAAAATGACATTATGGAGCGAATGTGTCGCCCAATTCGTATTTCGAGAGCGTCATCTGTTTTTAATTATTAATTTTGAACGGTAAACAATCAACAAACTAATTTGGAACGCCTCTATACGACGCGCGCATTGGTGGTTCAGTGGTAGAATTCTCGCCTGCCACGCGGGAGGCCCGGGTTCGATTCCCGGCCAATGCAATATTATTTTTTCCAGTATGGCAAAATTAATGAGTTCCATTACTAAACCCAACAACATCTTATCTCTAATTCTATCGATACCTCAAAGTCCTGTGCGTGGCCCAGTTCGGAGTAAGCCCGCGTTCCCTTATACTATATACAGGACGCACAAAATTACGCACCAGTGATTCCCATGCTAGTGTCCGCGAAGCACTTTCGTAAGGTCCGCGGAATAAATCTGTTTTATGCCTCATAGTAAGATAATGCAAAAATTAAGTGCTTAAATCACTTTTTGTTTCGATCACGTTGTCCCATTGTGATGTCACAAAGCTGCGGATCTATGGCATCACAGAGAAAGTTAAATTGCTGTCATTATAAGTTAACTAACTGCCGAGGTGTATCTGACGCTGCCTTTTGCACGTCTGTTAGTATAGGATGGAGTTACAGTAGGTAGTTTATAAAAAAATGCCAGTCCGCTTCTAAATGCTGTTGCTGTTTTGCTTTTGTAGTGAACGGTAGATAGCGTTAACCAACTTTAGTTTTTCGCGCCACCCTTCACCGTGAAATGTCATTTTAAATTTTTTTAAATTCAGGTTGACAGCAAGTGCATTTTCATTTCGGTGAATAATAAACTACTGACTGACGTTAAGTAGAGTGTAGTCAGAGAAGCACTACGTTTAGTTTTTAGCTGTCAAATTTAGCCTTTGACACACGGAAACGGTATGCATATATTTTTACGTTTTTAGCTTTGTAATATTAATTTCAAAATGTCTATCAAAATTGTGATGTTAGTTTATTGTGATAAACACAGGTGAAGAGGAGGTTTTTCACTATACCGTACGGCGCATTTATTTTTTGTTGTGATCTTTTAATGTTTTAAGCGCATAGGGCCGCGAATCATTAAAAAAATTGAAAACGGTCCGTCATGGAATTTTTTTGAACCACTGCCTCATACTCTTCTTATACAAATTCTCAATTCATGTAAAAGCAATTTAATTGCAGTATTGAATGAAAAATTATATAATTAATATCATATTGCACATGAATTGAACACTTGGAAATTATATGGAAAAAAATGATTGCAAAGCCACCAGAGAAAAGAATGATATATAACCACCAATAACGACTTATTAGAGTAATGTTTTGAGGTGTTCTCTTTAACAAATAACCCCTTGTTGCAGAAAAAATGGTTTGGAAGTTTGATCCACAGCCTAAAAATGTTTAATATACGAATAATTTGTTATTTTCCATCAATTTTGAATAAAAAACAACAAACTTATAACAACAATCAAACTCTACGAAAAAAAAACTATATACTGCACAAAATAATGGTATTTTCGATTTTGTGAATTCTTACTTATTTTTCGCAAAGCACTATTTTCGAATTTTGTTTTACGTTTTTTAGACATCACTAGTAATATTCCTATTAGTAACAAAAATTAAAACATGATGGTAACAGTGATTTAATGAGGCAGTTTGATAAATTATGAAGTTATGCATGGAGGTGTGAATGGAGGTAACTCTCTGATCATGACATACTCTCTGGCACTTCTGTTGGCAATTTTTGTCCTCTGACTCCTGCCAATACATTGTCCACAGCAAGTTGAATCATTTTCCTCCTAAAAATAAATAGAAAAATTTGAGCATCATTACTATAATATACCCATATACAGCTAGAGATTAGTGAAAAAAAATCAAACTCTTAACGAAAGATATAAATTCTTCAAAAAGAGCTACTAAGAAGATAACTATATACTCAGTGAAATTTGCCATTTTCGTTACGAAAAGTATTATTTTGAGTGATCAATATACAGTAGCTATTTTTAATTTTGCTACAGTATCCTTGCATTCAGTGCATACATATCCACTAGCACCAAGACAGAGAAGAATGAGCATTTGTCAGGCACACCTTACTGGAATCAACTATAGAAATTATACCTTTGTCAAATTTCAGCAACCCTCGGCTTATAACATAATTTTACCGGTCCGTTCAAATAAAATATTCAAAATAAAAATTTAAAGCAAATCGGAATCCTAGAACATCAAGCTATTGGAAAACGGACATCAATATAATAAGATAAGGTCTTCAGACCTCAGGATCATAATAACTAGCAAACAAAAGTGAAAAAAACATAAGATCCTACTCACCTTCACACATACTCTAACTCAAGCTTCTGATACTTTTCACTGATCTCAATTTGACTGACTTTGACTAGAACTTGATACATACATACATTCACCATTTCACATTTTGTGGCATTCACCTACAACAAAGTTATTCTTATACATGTTTGCTCAAAGGCGAAGTCTCCAGTACTCATACACAAAATCACTCGTGTGCTAAAAGCTCTCTATAGGCTCATCCCTGTAACAGATATCTCAATAGCTCGCGGTGTAAATGAAACCTAAAACTGTTGAATTGTTATTCTTCATGGAACCTTAAACCATTTGCCCAGTTTTTGACTTGAAAATATATCACACAATCTCTTTTCCAACCAATTTTCTCCGTTGCTCCTACTAAAATACATTTAAGACTTCTAGTAAACTTGACCGAAATGAATGATTACTCATACGGAGGTTACTTCACCTAATTGAATATAATAGATTTGCCATGGAGCAATTTTTATACCTTATCTATGGTATTACTGTATTCTGCTTCTAAGCGATATTATATACTAATATATAATTATATAGTCTACTCACCAACAATAAACTGGCTTGCTGAACCGTAATTCTATATCAGTGCAAACAACTTTTTGTTCAGCTATTAGCTCATTCCTATCTGCCGGGTTGAATTATGTGAAACAAAATAAACTTACATATTTTGCTAATATGATGATTATTCTTGATAAGTCAAGATGCAAGTACCATTCATGATGCAGCAACTTCCTTTCATTATCTATCTTTTCTCTAATTGGTACCCTATCTAAAATATGTCACATGGCATGAAATCTGTTTATCACTCTTGTACTTTCTCATGGACAATAAACTTTTCAGAATAACTGAACAATTATGATGAACCAGATCTCTTGCCATTACCTTATATAAGCTACATGTTGTCTTGTATTATCAGTTTTATCTTTTTCCTGTTAGCAAAACTGTAAATGTGCAAATTTACACCTATTTTTGTAGGACATAAGTACCGGTATATCCTATGAATGATACAATTCAAACTAAACATACACTAAACCTCTTGCTAATAATGACAAAGAGTGATGGAAAATCCCCCAAAGGAACTCACAAAAATCAGTCCTTTGTCCAGGGGTGGGTATAAGAGGTATCTCAATGACCTATGACCTCTTTTTCTGCCATAAAATACAAATTTTGGTACACCAAGCGTGACTGATGGAGATTCCATAACCCTGCCTTTGTTGTACTGTTGTCTACTTTTTAACTACAATTTTATACTATAAACTACGGTCGTTTTTGCAAATCACTTTTTTGAATACTCCGGATATTTTTCTTCTATATGACAAAGATAAATTTGTTATGCGCTAAAATACTGCTAGAGATACACTTCTAGGTCATTGTAGCTTTGCACATATAAGTGACTTGATCAGAGTGAAGCTATGCCATATTATCAGCTTTCCTCCGCTTAAGTAAATTGAATAAATTTGTACAATAAAATTTAATATCCCACGCTAACCTTGTTGTACTGGTCTGCGATCCGGCATGAGGTGAAATAATCACATTAGACATCTTGAGTAGATCATGATCCCTGGGCAATGGTTCTGGTGTGGTGACATCCAATGCAGCTGAATGAAATTCTCCCGTCTTCAAAGCATTGACTAAAGCTTCTTGGTCGACTGTTGCACCTGTAAGAGTAGTGGGAAGTTAAATGTTTTGGACCGAAATATTGGCTTCCAGATATGACATCTTCTGTGTCTGTCTGTTGTATTGCCATTTTGTTGCCTAATCAATTTTATTACACAAATATAATATCCTTGGACGTTCAATTTCGTAGCGCAAAGCCAAGATCAATAATATGGGAAAAATGTTCCCAAGATGACGCAGCAATACTTGTGAGGTAAATCTTATCAAGTGTCCAGAAACACACACAAAATAAAAAATACTACCCACTCAGAGAATTCCTTCTGAAAAGGGCTCTTAATAGAGGTTAAGATTGAATTGTATGTGGGTGAAATAATCATTCAAGAGGTGTTTATCATCGATGAACTTTTCACTGGCTTCTTAATAATAAGATACAATGTTTATTCAAGTTGCTTGGGTGAGATATTCATTTCCTGTGAAATTTCCTGTGGTTGTGCTTTCTAAGAAGATCTTCCTGGATTTTTCGTATCCCACCCAAGCAACTCGAATAAACATTTAAACATTGGGTGCTCCAGAAGTATGTGGACCAAGATGACGCACAACCTGAATCCTAATGGGTACACACATAGTATGTTATTATGAAGTGGAATGTAACGATTACCTTTCTAACACAACATATTAATTATATATTACCTCTCGATATATTAATAAAAATAGCAGAATTCTTCATTTTCTTGAACTGCTCTGCACCCATGATGTGTTTTGTTTCCTCAGTTAAACAGACAACAACGATTACAAAGTCACACAAAGGTAGCATATCATTCAGCTTAGGATAGTACGTCGCCCCAACTGCTTGCTCTTCAGATTCAGGCCTTAAATATAAAAAAATTATGTTAAATATTTATCTCATACGCTTGCTACCACACCTCTGGTTACCCTGCATTGGTTCGCAGATTCAAATCCTCTGGCTGATAAATATGTGCTAGAGAATCGCTGTACTCGCTGTTGCCGCCCTGGGGTGGTTCACGTAACATCTGGCCATTTATACCAGCCTCCACCATCAAGTCCATGCATTTGAAATGATTAACTGGTTAGGTACTTGCATGCATAACAGACATGATCTGGTAACCCGACAAAGGGAGGCGGTCTATAACATGGTCTCGTCATTTGTTGTGCCTCCGCTGTGAGAAAGAATATACATTACCGGTAGCGTGCTAGCTGCACCAATTTCTGCCTATAAACAATCCCCACATTGAACTTGAATATATGACATACCTGCACTTCTATTTATGTGTAAATTACAAATAACTTTAGGCATCTTTGGCTAATTACTACATTACAAACGGCGTACAACAGCCATTGTTACAAAATAAGTGGAGTGATGATAATAATCAATCGTCCTGAAGTACTTTTGTTTTTATAATTCAAAAATGAAGTCATCAAGAGCCTCATTTGACCTGCGGGCCACATTTTTCCAACCACTGATATAGTCAGTGGAATACAGTAAAAATATAAAATATACCTACCTCTTATTTCTGTTGTGATAAAGAATTTTCATATCGAAAGCCTGGGCACGTTTTGCTACAATGTAACCAATGCTTCCCATCCCAACTATTCCGAGCGTTGAACCACTGACTTGATGTGTTACAGCATTCATCTCCAACCGAGTATAATCTGGTTCTTTGTATTTTGCAACAGCTGTTAAAAATTTGAAGATTGCGAGTTTTAGCCCAATTTTCACCACATTCATCGTGGTGTAATGCAGCAGTTCCCAACCTGTTGGTGTACAGAGTCTGTTGCCAGCCTTACGATTAGACCTTATGCTCCATGCTCCAAACAAGCGGAAGTGACCACTGGTGGATAAGGAGCTGCCCCAGTTTTGGATTATAGGAATCTTCCTGATTAAACATTCTCTTATCCAATTTATTATACACTGGGTTGGGTGGAGGGCATGGAATTTAATCCCGATATTTTGATCTGTGATGCCATTATAGCTAAATCTATTACATCAACCAGTAGGCCACAGCACCCACAAAACAAAAAAGATTATTTTCAAAACATCATTTAAAGAACTGGCAGTATGGTAGTAGTAGGTCGGAAACCCAGAGCTGAACGGTTTCACCATGATTTTCTACTCTAGGTGATCGATTCACCAATTAAAGTTGGGCCAAGAGGATTCCAGCTTGCCAAAGTCAACAATATTAAAACACCTCTCAAAATCAGTGACACCGACAAAGTAAAACCAATGGGAGATGTAGCATCATAGGATATATGTTTCTGAAGCATTTAAACGTAACTAATTCTGTTTTTTGGTAACCCAATCTAAGATAACCCTGGGGAGGTAGCAGGCATGGGTTTTGTATTTACGATAAGTCCGTCAAGTAAATGAAAACTTACAATTGATAAAATCTCTTGCGGCCGCAAGCATAAGAGTCATCCCCATTTCAGCTGTGGCAGAACTGAGTATATGAGGAGTATTGGACACCTTGACTCCATAACTTTTGACCATGGCGACGTCAATATGGTTGTATCCCGCTCCTATAGCAGCAATAACTTTTAAATTCGGGAGAGCATCAAGCCAGGCCTTCGAAATCTTGAAAAAAGGGAACAATATTGTAATGTGCATTGGAAATTTGGATCAAATTTACTGAATGTATGTATATAATTATGCATTAAAGGTACAGTACACTCCCGATATGTACAATAGTTCGGTAATGACAGGTCCATATTCTAGGTTTTAGTGTGAAACGATATTAGGGTATAAATCAGCAACTAGTAATCAACGATATTAGGGTATAAATCAGCAACTAGTAATCAACGATATTAGGGTATAAATCAGCAACTAGTAATTTTCTATAATAATCCTTAAAAAAGATTTGCTTGGGACAAAAACTTGCGAAAGGCGAACATTCAGTGGGACATTCGTAAGAATGTTCATTAAACATTGAAATGCTGATCTTTTATGGGTTCCCAAGATCGTAAAGCCATCTTATCACACATTCATCACAAAATATATTAAGAAATTCTATCATAATTCTATATTGGTTCTGTAGCTGTTTGCATCTGCATGTCCATCAGTGATGATCCTCCTTTGTTTCTGAGTGACATAATTCTATAGGTTTCAGAAGCTCACTGCATTCCTGCAGCCAATAACATTGTTAATCAGAGACGAGCCAACTTCAAAGTGTATGCATAATATAACCTTCTAATGAAAAATAAAACATAAAATAGCAATGACATACCCTCTGAGGCCCCCATATGATAATCCCGACAATATTACTCCACTTTTGCATCTGCATATCCTTCTCAAACTCTGCTATCCATACAATATCAAAATGCTTTTCAACAACGTCTATGAACATTTGGCTGACACCATATTTTTCATCTCGTACAGTCATAAGCACCATTGGCATTGTACACATCTTTAAGCTTGAAACGTTAAATTCAACGGCAAAATAGTCTAAAATATCTAAAATATAAGACGAAATTATTACATTTCAAATTATTTATTCCATTATACATAAAGAAAGCATAGTAAGAGCAGTAAAGAGTGCTAAAATGTTGAAGTCTAGCATTTTTTGGTATTTGAGTTATATTTTCATAATCCCCAGAGTCTCTCAAAGTCTGTCAGTTTTCCAAATTTATTCAGAGTAAGTTTTCGTATCAAAAATTTTATAATTTTGCACAGTACCCAAAACTTGCTTTGAAATATAGAATTACAACATGGAATGTCAAACGAATGAATATTAATAATCGAATTGTATGTGTGGGAATTATCACTGCGTGAAAACTTGGCAGCTCTAAGTAAAGCCACGACACACCATTTTAAAATGTACTGATGCAAACAAACGCCGGTTACTAACATGGAGGCTATTCATTTCTGGCCAAAAAATGTCAAGTATTAATGTTTGTTTTATATTATTTATCATTTAATTTTGCGGCCATGGAACGCTCCCTGCCAGTATCCGATCATATTCTTGAGTCGCAAGATTTTACAAAATTTCTTTTTTGAAAAATTTGGGTTGGAAACCACTGATCTGGTCCAGGGGCTACTCAACTATTTTTACCGGAGGTCCACATACAAAAGCATACGATTTCTCGGCAGACTGATGATTATTAGCTAATCAAGATTGTTTGTTATGGCGGTATAGTTCTTTTCATACATATTTTTAAATCTATAAAAGTGATTTTATAGAAGAAAACTTCAAAAGTGGGGCTAATGATCCAAAATGAAGAATTATGCGCGGTCCGAATCGAATACCCGAAAGGTCCGGATTCGGACCGCGTTCCGCCAGTTGAGTAGCCCTGATCTAGTCTACAAACTTCAAGAAGCCTGCCGGTGCTGCACACTAACACAAATGTATTTCTTTTATATATGTGACCAAGATGAGATTTCCTCAGACAAGCATATTTCAACTCAGTCAGATAAAGCATTAAAGACATAGGGTGTCGATAAAGACCCTTTACAATTTCAGTTTTGTTATGAAGTCAGTTCTCATTATATCGTAACCAGGTTTGTTGTTTTCTAATCAGTTATTATTTCAGTATTTTAATTTCATTTAATACATCTGTAAGCGCCAAAGCAATATATGGTATCGATAAAATCCCTTTGCAATTTAGAAAATAATCAGGACTTTATGGACACCCTATATATTTGTGTGTGTATTCACAGAACTCTGGAATGACAGAATTACCAAATTGTCTAATACTGTACTATTATTTTTATCAATAAATGAAATACCGGTAAACATAAATAAGATGGACATATTTCAAATAATAAACAACCCCAACACTTCTATTCCAAGTAGATTTTAAAAACAAAATCATATATTCAAGACTAATATATATATACAAGATAAATATAAATTGTTCTACTTAATATAATCGCTTGAAGAGGAAGACTGGGCACACTTGGAGGGAAGCAAAAAGAAGGGGCTGATAAACTAAAAAATAAGTCTTAACAGTAGTTATTGTTATGAATTGTCATAAATATTTCCTGCACCATTTTCACTTGAAATATCCTGAAAATAAATGAATCCCTGGTCATATGCATGGCATATGGATAAAAAGTAAAATGAAATTTATTGTTTGAACAAAATCACACAAAACATTTTGAAAGATTTTAAATTTCATTTTAGACCTCCTAGCAATACAGCCAGGGTTACCATACCATGCTTATTTGTAAGATTTGTGCTTATTTTCCAGCCCGCGTACTATAACGTATCGATGTGCTTATTTCTAAGAAAAGTGCCTATTTTTAAGTTGCGTGCTTATTTTGTCTTAGAAACATGGATGACTCGTTTGTGTTTTGGGTACAAAGATTCCAAGGAAACGAGAGATGATGCTCATTATTATAGGAAACGCATATTCACGGCACGCTTCGCTGTGTTATTATTGTGACAGATCAATTATCCATCACCAAAAACAACTGAAGCAAATTGTTGGTAGCGATAAATATAAATGATTTGACCTATGTTTTGACTCAGTGAAGTTAACATTTAAAACTATGTGTTTATGCTATTTAATGATTAATATGTTCACACATTTGGGGGTGGTAGATGGGCTGTATGATTACTTTCTCATTTTTATTCTGCGTTTCTGCCGTTGTTAAGTTCCCCCCCCCCAAAAAATAACCTTTTGACACCTGTGCCTTTTTTTGGCTCTAGGTAGATACCGTAGTAACCGTGAATATTGATCTCTATTACTCAGGAATAAGTAACTCATACAACTAAAAACACATATAAAAATAATGATGTAGCATGGAATGTCCAGCACGATCTGATATAAATATTGGAAAAAAATGCTAGTTTGAAAATACATTCTTATCTGTATAATTCTTAACATCATAAAGATAACAATATGGCCATAAAATGTCAGTCAAAAATAGCCATAAATTCCAGCAAAAAATGTAAACTTATGACAATCAATATGAGAATCAATAAAATGGGGTTGGATTTTGTCTGGGTGGAATCTCCTTTGGAGAACATTTTCCATGAGTGAAATTTCAAAGGGTGAAAGATGGCCACATAATACATCGTGTTTAGGATGGAATTTTGTTTGGAGGGGGAATATTCCCTTGGGGAAATTTGTCATGAGAGTCACTTTCAGAAGGAGGATTTTCATAGGTCCCCCTATAACAGGGATGGCGAACCACTGACCCGCGGGTCACAAAGTGACCCACCGCGTTTTATTCGTGACCCGCCAAGGCACTAATAAAATAAAAACTGCTGACATATCAGTGATAAAAATTGATAAAACCGGCTTCGAATTAATCTAACAATAACTAAACTATTATAATGTACCAGCTCTTGGACAGTCAGGGCTGCGATCGCTCATGTTCAAATTGTTAATTTTCGGTCCGGTAATTTTCAAAACCCCTAATCTTGGACGCATGTCTGCACTGCTGTGTACCATTATTCAGCTATTGGCTCTGACATCGTTTATGACATAACAATGCAATAGATCTGTTCATTTCTCGGTCTCTTTCAGATGTGCATCTGCAGACTGTTTTAGGGGTTATACGAGAACTAGATGTTACATTACATTTTATTTGTTTCTAGCCTATATTTCCATTGAAAAAACAAAATCTTTCAGACTTGAAAAAAAACCTAGAAATCTGAAATAACAATGGGGCAGTGTAAAAGTGCCTTATTGTGGTTGAAAGCTGATAGGAAAATATAACTCCATCAAAGTGGAATTCCCTCCAAACTCTTTGGAACCGTAAAATAATTTGCCGCATCATCCTAAACGTTTTTGGTAATTCATATGCGTGTTTTCGTACTCTAATTTCATAAAATCGAGTGCCATAATAAGTCCTTGATAGAAGTGCTGCATAAGTGAAGCCCAAAACTATACCAACTCCAACAGAATCTTAGAAGATTTGTTTCAGAAGTTCCTTGTATAGATACTAACATTGATTAAATATCTGTGACCCACTCTCTTCTGTTCCTCGATAAAAATATAATTTTTGACCCATTCATTGAAAAAGGTTCGCCATCCCTGCCCTATAATATACCATGTACTATATGTGTATTAATTCTTGTCTAACGCAATTAAAGAACCAGCAAGCTATGTTGTATACAATTATCTACTTTCCTACCATTGAGTAATAATAAGACCAAACGCGTATACTTTTAGACAATAAAAATCATAAAAGCAGACACAATAAAAAGTTGCAGGCACCGAATTATGTATTCATTAATCCTCAGTTTGAGTGAATAGTCCATCAGAATCTGCTGTGTCCAGTAGGTCACAAATAATAGGTGACTCTACACCTAATATATAACTACATGTCGCAGGTTCACGTAAATAAATTGTAACAGCGTGCTTACTGCTGCTCGCTTTACACTTTAGCTTGACAATAACTTCCCGCGGCTTCCCAATTGCTTCACAAAAATCACCTTTATGATAGAAATGTTCTACCATGATAACTTTTTTATCTGTTGTTTTAGTTGTAACATCATATTCTTCCCTGTAAATTCTCGCTCTTCTATTTTTTGCCCAATTCAAATGAGCTTCTTTGTCCCATTTTCCAACCATTATTATTGCCCGCCCCATTGTTTTGTCATCATGGTATTGTTTTACATGTTTACCATAACAATATTCATAATTCCACCATCCAGAACTTCCACGGAGACAAAAATCTCCCGAAAGAAAATCTCGTACAAGAGCTTTATCTGTTTGTTTTGATATTTCAGGACTATCAACACGTCTATAATCATCTCTAGTAGGCTCAAGTTCAATTTCTGTCTCTTCATGACGTTTTGGGGCCGTAAAATGTTGTTGGTTGGCGAAACTGTTCTCTATATTCTGTTTTACTAAAGCTTTTGGTTTTCTGGGTGAATCATCTAAAGAAGTACAGTAGATTTCATTTACTGGAGTTCCTTTCACTTTATAAAATGGATTTGCACATAAAGTAGGCGTTAGGATCACTAGTTCATACTCACAAGAACTTGTTTCGCTTACGGACATAATTTCATTTCGTGATTCCGGGTGACATACATATAAAACTCGTGTTTTCCTTTTTCCACCGTTTTTGAGTTCACATGCAGTTCCATTACCCATATCTATAGGATAATACGGGGTCATGATTCCGTCTAACTTTTTGGCAGGAATATCTTTAGCACCGTTGGGTATGTTACCTAATTTGTTGAAAACACCTTTGCTGTCTGGTTCCTCGGAAAAATATCCTAAAAAGAACTCTTGTAGTTTTATTACGCCACCTGCTGCTTTTTCCTCGTGATATTGCCTAATATGCTTCCCATGGCATATTTCATAAGTCCAGTATGTCTCCAGCCGATATGTGCATGGTTTTTGTTTTAAAACTGGTGACAGTAATTCCACTGGTGATGCAGATGATTGAAAATCGTCGTTCTCGTTTTTACCTTTTGCTGATGACGGTATCATGCATTTATATTTCTCATTTTTATCAGTTTTTATAATAACTGCATCTTCGTCGTTGTATTCCTCAGACTTTGTTGCAGAATCTTTCAATTCAAAAGTCTTTCCAGGCCAATTAAGGTTATATACAATGCTATCATCCAAAATAGCATACGAGTATGATGCCCATACAATCAGTAAAGCAAATTTGAAAATGTCTGCAAACATCTTCAGTCTCGTTAAAGCATTTAAAATATGAAAGTCTGCAAAGTAATTGAGAATATCGTTAGAAATAGGAGGATATCCCGTATCATATTTATCTCTGCAAGTGGGAAGTGCAACTTCTGGGAAGATAGATACTGTAGATCTGTAGATAGAGGTCTGGTATAGTTTAGTACCACATATACTTCTAATTGACCTGGCTCAACAATTTTTGCATATGTCATTCATAATCCCCACCTGACTACTTCACCAAATATTATGTTACTAAGACGTCACAGTGGCGTTCTAAAGACCTCCAAAGTGTACGAATGGTCGTCCAAAACGCGCTGACGATCATCCGAAATCGATCAAGCTTTTTCTCTCATTTTCTCTCCCCAACGATCCCGATATGAGAGAGGCCGCTGGCATTAGAGAGTTCATTACGGTCAGCGCAGATGCTGTTTTGTGGATCGTAGCTATACATTGGCAAGCTCTATGACGTGATTGTGACATTGTAGTGACATAATTTTTGGTAACTTTTGATACGTAAAATTCACTATGCTACGCCCACCGGAAGTACTGGTGGTACTAAACTATACCAGACCCGTAGATAGTTTATTTTGAAAACTCCCCAATACACACAAATTTGAAAAGGAGAATTCTATGAGAAAAACCCCCAATAAAGTTTAGTGCTGGTTCATTGTACCCTACTTTCCGACTTTGGTGGAACCAAAACTCATTTAGCTTTTGCTTTTGGTAAAATTTTTGAAACTGCTTTCCAATTGTCTAACCTTAGATAGATAGATAGATTTTATTTCGATTCATTCACAAAAAATAAAAACAATACACAAAAGAGAGAAAGGCGAAGAATCTGGAAAGTAAACAAAACCTAAAAAAAAAGTTTATAACGTACTAAACACGTTCACTCACTGAAGAAGAAGAAAACAAATCACAACAAACATAAACATGAATACAAACGATTGGTCAATATTCAGGCGTCTAGCGTCTAACTTCATAATCAAATTATGTGCAATCATTTACAACTAAAATAGTGAACTGAATAGCGGGTGTGTGTGCGATGTGTGAAACGACATGTAAACAAACAACTGAACAAATTGTTTCTAGATCAAAATGTCTGAATGTGTAAACCTATGCCGGCATTTCGTGCTTAAAACCATAAAAATCGAACTGTCGAGTAATTGCCATAACATCAACTAACTGTTATATATAACGTGTACACAATAATGTGAACATCGATTGTCAGTTCTAAAAGTTTTACAGAAGTGAACTATTCAGATTATACAAAAAAACGTGAAAAAAAAATTAATAGTCGTGAAAAATCTAGACGTCTCTAGCAACTTCGTGGTACAGAATTTTTACTTAAAAGTTAATATTTCATCTGTTGAATTCATATTTCTCGTTTTGCCAATGCTTTGTTGAAGATTTCCCAGTTACGACCATTGTCCCACGAGTTCGAAACGGATATCGGTACCATACCGTACGGGTACTCGGGTACGGTATCCGATATGAGTCACAAAAGACTGAAAGATACGGTACCTACCGTACCTACTGTACCGGTACCAACTACCCTACCGGTACGTTTGCCAGCTCCACATGTTGATTTCATGGGCACATTTATCTTGCTTTGATCAAAAATGTAACAAAACCTTCAATTGCCTGTTCCTTTTAATGTATTAGGGACTGCTCTGCAGATTCCTTTAATTGCTTACATTCCTTAAATAGCTTTCCCTGTCGCGGTACCTGTCTAGGCAGCAGTAAATGTACAAGACCGACGGACAACTCTATTTTTTTCTGTTTTTCTTTCTAATATATATATATTTTTTTTATTCACTCACATTTTTAAAGAATTAGATAAATAATCAGAAAAACACCTATCATGCCATTAGGTGAATTCTACATTTTCCATCTATGTAATCTTCTTGAAAAACTAGAAATTTTACTCAAATTAGTAAATACAGTGGGAGGCGGACAACTCGACTACACGGACAACTTACCAGAGACAACTCGACTACCTGGAGACCTGGTGAGTTGTCCGTCTTTTCGCATTTTCTACGATGGTGTTTTAGGTCTATAGAAATGCGTTTTTGATATTTTTAGTGCTCAAATGTTGAGAAAAATACATAAATATTCTCTAGAAAGCATTTTTATTTGTATAAGTGGCTTATTTTAATCATGTTGTATGAATACAAATACAGTCTACAGACGAAATTGGAGTAACGTTAGCGAAGTTAGACTGTTGACTTATAGGACTGTGTTCGTTTAATTTTATGAACTTTATTGGTATTAAATGTTTTGAATGAGCACATTTGAATATATTAAAACCTTTATACTTCACAGTAACACTTAAATATTTATGAATGTGAGCTTAGTAGTCTGTGGTTGCAGTAGTCTAAACTCGCCTACGGCAGTCGCCCGTCAACTCACCAGTCGAGCAAACGCTCTGCGACGTGACGTCATCGATGCTCGAGGTAAAGACAACTCGACTACCGAGCAACGAGAGGCAGACAACTCACTAGTCGAGCAATCGCTCTGCGATATAGATGCTCGAGGTAAAGAGGCTAATGAGCAGAGGCGTAGCTTAGGGGGGGCAGTGGGGTACATATGCCCCCGGGCGCCAAGGTACAGGGGCGCCAAAATGAGGCTGGCAAAAATTTCACAACAAAGGTAAAAAACGGTCACAAGCAAGATCGCACGGGCGGCAGACATCTAATCTTAGTACATGGCAAACTGCACACTTGGTCAGACCACTTACGACTGCCGACGTCATCACGCACATAGCACGGTCAGATTTCCATCGTAATTACATGGCCAAAAAAATCTGGCCGGAAAACAAAGCAAAATTTGATTTGGTAACGTTAGGTAACAAAATGCACCGGGTTAATTACGTGGTTCTGTATCGTTAAGTTCTTGCCTGCGCACTCGGATGTAAGTTGATATTAGTTCTGTGCTGGAGACAAATGGAAACGGAATTTGGTTGAATGATGTTAATACATGTTTTGAGTAATACGTGGATTGTATTTTGTTGTCAAAGTACCGTACTTTGCGGCAGAGTTACATAAAATATATTATACTGTGCTAAAAGACTTCAATGCCGTTTTCGACAATTCGTCGAGATTGCACAGATTTTGCAAATCTCTACCCCACGGACATCAATGGCCACGAACTTTTCACCGAAATTGGAGATTGCAGAATGCTGCTCAGTAACAGAACTGTAGATCAACCAGAAATTCCTTTGGCTCTTCTTGGTTTTATTGTGTCTTTTGGAGACGACGTTTTATTCAATCTGCGAATTTCTCTACAAATTTTGTTAACAATATCAGTTTCAATTGCAAGCTGTGAACGGTTTCAGCAGATTGAAACTTATTTTGTCGTATTCGCGTGCATCAACGGGACAGGATCGTGTCCGTGATCTTGCACTTCTAAGTGTTGAAAGAGAAACATTGGAAAAAAAACAGATTTTGATGACGTGTTAACCAGTTTACGACAGTGAAATTGAAAAAATGAATTTATTTTAGACTATGTAGATCATCTTTGACAGTAACTGAGTGGGACATATGCTCTATTTGTATAGCTTTGCTTCTTCTTTAAATAAAATGTTCCATTAAAATTTGAATTTACATATACATATATTTTTGAATAAATAATAAAATATATAAATACATATAAATTTGAATTCACATATCGTCACGCTAATAACCGAATTGCGTAAGTCATTTTGGGCGGTTTTGAATTTTTTATAAAATAGGTATTTATGTAATGCTGCGCACCTGTCTGTTAACTCAGATTTTATTTTAAGAATTCCGAAACCCATAAAAATAGAAATTTTGTATGATGTGCAAATTTGTTCAATTGTTCCGTCATAATGAATTATCATTGTTAACGCAGGACTATTGTGACGTCACAAAGGCAAAATAACCTAGGCGAAGGATTTTCGAGTTTTTGCATCTCAGATTCTAGCTTAGCGCTAATAATTTTCAATTTATACTACTGTATAGGAAGGCGTGCACTTGTGATATTTACTGTCTGAGTCCAATTCACCTTGGTTGACTTTTATATAAGAGTACATTACTGTTTTATTCTTTATATTTAACTTTAGTCTTATTTCGGTGATGTGCAGAGCGTGTTTTATTGATGAAATATATATTTTTAAACATAAAAAATGTTGTAATTGAAACAGATTAGCTATTTTGGGGATTTTGGATTGTTTGGTTTTCAGGACTGGTACATATAGACAAGTTGCAAAATTGCGTATGTCCTCTAGCCATAGACACATTTTTGCCTAAATCACAGTGTGCCATTATGACGTCACATGACTGCGTCATACAAATTAACTTAAATCCGGCTACGATCAAAAAGTTGAACTATGGCAAATTAAAGACTCTCAATGGCATAGCAATATCATTAGGAAGTTTTTTTACGTTTTTCTCAAAACAGCTAAAAATGACTTACGCAATTCGGTTATTAGCGTGACGAAATATAATTTTTTTTACATATACAATTAAATCCAATAGAAAACATGAATAAACGTGGGGGCCGGGGCGCCAATTTTATATTTTGCCCCGGGCGCAAAATATGCTGGCTACGCCTCTGCTAATGAGTATTTACGTTTGTGAGGTGCCAGGCCGACGATAATGAGGCTGTAAACTCGGCGATAACCGAGCAGTAATCTCGGCGCTGAATCGTCTATCGAGGCAACCAATCCGAGAGAATTGTTGAGCCAAAGAATCGAAGAAGCGTTTTTCACCATCGAGGACGCCTTAAGCCAAGAGGTAAAGGGAAGCTTTACGAGAGGGGTGGCTATTCATACACCCTTAATCGCACCAACGCAAATGGAACCGGTAAGTCCATAATAATTACAAACGCAAAAGGACGACGAATTCATCAGAAATGAAGCGCCCCATTCACATGGCCCTGTGGTCGGCGAGCGACAGCACGGACAACTGGAAAAAATGCTGGGGAAACGGGGGTTAGAAAATCCCTACACCACTTGTGGGATTGTGCCAAAAATGGCACGCAAAGAGATCGCAGGTGGTAGATTACAGATTGGCGCAGTAAAGGTGAGTTACTCGACCTTGTGCATTTATAATGGCTACTGATATAGTGTGTGTTACAAATTTTTCTTTTGTTACAGGAGGAATCACTGAAGAGGCTTTGCAACAGGAAGCGACAAAACAACAGACCGTCAGACCCAGGTACAATCGAGGAGCCACTGCAACAACAACACATACCAAAGGATTTTTTAGTTGACGACGCTATAGTAAACGGTGCACGTCACATAATCTTTTCAACAAGAAAACAACTTTCACTCCTGTCGAAGTCAAATGCTGGTATATGGATGGGACGTTCGACGTGGTTAAAGACCCATTTTATCAACTTTTTTCTATCCATGCATTCATCAGGAGCGGCGAATGCTCGAAACAAATTCCGAAACAAATATATATATGTCTTTGTACTTCTTCCACTTCTTTTGTTTTAACATGTTTTATTTTGTTTTAGGGACGCTGGAACAAGAGACCTGATAAAGCATGTCATGGCGCTGTGCTATATACCTGCTATGTTTATCACGTCCAGGTTCAAATCACTGAAAGAAAAGATGCATACTCAAGATCTCAAGAACTTCGCCGAATATTTTCAAAACACATGGTTATACAACAGTGTTTGGACTCCCAAGGATTGGTCAGTATTCGACGTAGAAATAAGAACCAACAATCATCTGTAAGGTTGGAACCGCCATTTCAACAGTATAACTCGGAAAAATATGCCTTTTTACAGTTTAATCTCAACAATGTACGAGGTAAGTATAGGGATAGCGGCGGACGTTGTGGATATTTTGGAAGAGAATGTTGTGGGGCGTGTCAACGGCAGGTATGCGGAAGGCAAAGAGAGGGTGCAACATGTTTGGGAACAGTTTAAGGAAGGAGAGTTATCTGTGGACTCTCTTCTTCAGAGGTGTTCTACGGGATCTACGGGCCGCTTGAAACTTGACCTCGCTTGAAAATCTGTCTGAGTGAGAAAAGTGTCTGAGCGGATGCAAAAAAGGAGCATTGCTACGTCACCTTTTGCATCTGCATACGTCACCTTTTGCCAATGTCACAAAGTAAACAAGAAAGTCGATGCTCGGGGGAAGGTCCGTTGGAAACTTGATATTATCACATAATGGATTTATTTAAAAATCTTATCAATGTGTTGATATTGCCTAATATCATTTCGACATTCACTGTCCATCAAACTTAAGCACCCCAATACATTACATTTAAAAACTGCTTTAAATTGCATTTTATAAATAGCATCATATTTGACAGAGTTTCTGTTTTGTCAGATTGCTGATTTGCCACAAATCACAGTCAACAACATTAATTTGGTATCCATATTGTTGGCTATGATTTGGTCTGGATGGAGTAAATTGTCCTATATTGCACCAGTCTCAAAAATTCTGGGTCCAATCACAATCGAAAAACAGGTGAAAACAAGTTTCCTCCACATCATCGCATAATACACATATGCCAGATTCTTCGCTAAACCAATATTTTAGTTTATCTGCAGTAGGCAGCATGTATGGTTTTCCAGCTAAGTTCTTTATATTTGTTGTTATACTTGTATTTGTTCAATTTTCTCTCACATGATAGGTTATGTCGGATGTAATTTATTCGCGATATATATATTATGATCATTAATTTATCCAATCGGTTTAATTTCAAGCGCTTATTTGGTTGTTAAACGCTCCGAAACCACATAACGTTCAATTTCAGTTCTTGCTGAAGATGTATTTTGATTCTGTAGTAAGATTTCGTGCCTTCCACAGATTTGTTTATTTCTGGACCATATTTAGATACTTATTTCATTTTTTTTTTCAATTAAACTAGTGGTATTACCTAAATATGCCCCAAATATTTCAGTCTCATCTTTTTGGATTTCAATGACCTTGTATTCGGGGCCAATATCCATTTCAAAGTGTTCTAATGTTTTAGGACTTTCATCTATAGAGACCAAATTTTTTACTCTCAAAGTTATATCATCTGCGTACTCTTTATAAATTCCAATATCCCCACTACAATTCCTGAATTCTAAAATATTTCTATTAGATTTAACATCAGTTGCTGAAGGCTCAGTTATATAAACAGATATAAACATGATGCTAAGGGACATTCTTGTCTCACTCCCCTCCCCTTGTTAATAAGTATCCATTCGTAATAATTTTTGAACGTCACGGTGTCACGATGCAGAATTCCAATCCATTTTGAAAAATATTCGCCGAAGCCAAATTTTCGTAAAAGGCGTATTACTAATTCTTGATCGACCGTGTCTAATGCATTCTCTTGGTCGATAGAAAATATAATAGGAGGAAAATTTTGCTGATTAGCCTAGAAGATGTCATCCCGAAGAGTTAATAAATTTTCGTGAATTACCCTGCCAAAACTAAATTCAGTTTGGTCTTGTCCAATTAGTTCAGGTAATACATTTCTTAATCTATTAGTCAATAATTTTTCCATGAGATTGTATTAGAAGTTCAACAAGGATATTGGGCGCCAGTTTTTTAAATCATTCTTGTCTCCACTAATATATAAAAGTGTTATAACACCTATTGCTGAATCATGTGATATTTCGCCTACATCATAAAAGCTTTTATAAAGTAATAGTAGAATCGGATTGAGTGACCTCCAACAATTAAGAGTAATATTTTTTTGTTAAGCCGTCTATGCCCTGATATTTCTCTCTCTAAAGAAAATTTTTCTACAATTGTGTTTTCGTCAAATTTGTGGATTAAACTATTTTGGGATGTCCTATTAATACTTTTATTCTTACTATATAAATTATGATAAAAATAAATCTCAGTATCCTGAATTTCTTTCAGAGAGAAAACCAGAGTTCGATTTTGTTTATTTAGGACTCTAAACATGCTCTTCCGTTTGATTTTTCTAAATCTAAAAAGTATTTGGTAGATTCTTCATCTTTGACATACCCTAACATTTCATTGTATGCTATCCTGTATTGTGTTAAAAGTTCATGTCCTATATCATTATCCTTTTGGCGCTTTATTTTTGCACAATGAATTGCCCATGTTTCGATTTTATTTTTACAAAGATCCCAATATGAACAACTCTGATCTAACTAATTATTTTGATTGAAAATGCCACTTTTTCAAAATTGCTATAATCCCCTGACAAAATTCTTCATGTTTTTTTAGTTCTGAGTTGTACTTCCAATAGCCTGGATCATGTTTCATGTTTAGGATATTGTATTAATTTTGACAGGAAAATGATCTGGCATTGCATTCACCTGAATCTGAATATTCTTGATATCAGTTATTTCTATGCATGATATATACCATCGATCCAGTCTGCTTTTATATATGTAATTATTATTATACGTTTGCATCCATGTATATTGTATTGTTTTATTGTTAAATTTTCCCCAGATAATAATAAGTTCCAAGTTTTGTAGCTTTTTTGTACTGATATCGTTTTTGTAGTTCTGTTCTGGGAGTTTATCTTTTCTATCTAAAACACAATTGAAATCACCCCCCAAAATAATAGAATATTGCGTATTTCCTATTTGATTTACTAATTCTTCTATTTTATTTTTTATTAAAATAAACAATTCAGTGCGTTCCTGACATCATTTGGAGTATACAAATTAATCAAAATAAATTGGTTTCAGAAGATTTCCACCAATTCTATTATAAATCGACCATTGTCATCTACTTCCACATTTTTAAAATCTGTGTCAATTTTATTTGAAAATAAGATGCCGACACCAGAAGAATTATTAGGAAATGCGGCCGAAATTGCGTACCTGCCCCATTCTTTGGTCAATTTGGCAGATTCGGCTTCGCTTTCACAATGGGTTTCCTAGAGAAATGGTATATTCGCTCCAGTTTGTTTGAGATAATCAAGTACTGATTTACGCTGTATTTGTTGACTAATACCATTGACATTGAATGTCAAAAGTGTAACAGGTAAATTATGCAGATTGAACTGCCCGACCCCCTTGCCCTATTGATATATGAAGTGAAAAATGAAAAACAATAAAAAATAAACTAAAAGTATCTGAATAATAAAATGTGGCCCAGCTGTTATGTATTATAAAATGCCTCCATTTAATTTATCTGATACTTTTGGTTCTTTACTAGGCCGACGGTCAGGCACAATTCTACATATAAACTGTTTTTGCTTTTTGCTCTCTTTTTTTATCATATTTGTTATGATATTATTTTTCTTCGTATACAGGTATGAAGTGATCTGATTTGTTCCAGTGTATATTACTATTTTTTCTACTATTTCAGTTTGTTTTTCCAGGATTTCAGCAATATCAGCAAATTTTTCTCCAAGAACATGTGCTGTGAAGACTTTTGATTTGTCAGTTTTATGATTCAATAGTTTTACTTGTGAATCCCCAATTAGAAGGATCATATGACCTTGCGATTGATCAGAGATGATTGCCGCATTCCTTTCATCCACTAAAATAGGATTACTCTTTTTTAAAGATAGCGTCTAGTTGTTAGATTACTCTGTTTCCGTTTGGTGTTGTGATTTGCTCTTTTTTTTTTGTTGTTGCTGGTTTTTAATTGATTTTCCAGTTCCTGTTCTATTTCAGAAATTGTTTGTTGTGACTGTGATTTGACAATAGATTCAGGGGATTGAACTGTTTCTTTGTTGTTGTTGATTGTTATATTTTCTTCGGACTTTGGGATAGGATTTTGAATTTGTGTATTGTCGAACGGTTTTTTATCTTTGTCTGATGATTGTGGAGCTTCAGTTATAGTGTTTGTTTTCAAACAGTCTTTTTCTAAATGTGGTTTACCTTTTCCACCACAGTATTGGCATCGCCGTCTTCTGGAGCATTGCTCCACCTTGTGTGTTATAGAGTGGCAAACATAGCACCAATTATCATATTTATGCAGGTTGGATGAAAAACATTGATCTCTTTACCAGTCTTATTTTAGAGGGAATTTCATTTTCTAAAATAATTTTACATCTCCTTGTTCCATTTTCAATATCGTTTTTATCAGTAACTCTTTTTATCTGTTTAACTTCTCCAAATTGGGATAACAGTTTGGATATTTTAGTATCAGATACTTCTTGTTATAGTTTACTAATGGTTACATTTGTAACATTTGAAAACACCTCTTCAGGATATGCTGTATATACTTTGCCTTCAAAATCATAATGTACTCCTTCAACCATAACTTTCTCGCACGCCTTTTCCATCTCGAATTTTACTCTCCATATGTTGGAGAGTGAATGGCATGCATGATATACATCCTTTACCTGCTTTTTTATAGATGGGATTTTTGACTTGGTCCATCCATGTACAGTTGTCAAATTTGATGTTCACAGTATTAATTTGTTCCACACATTCTCCATAGTCATCGTACATAATGAAGGTTTTTCACTGAACGTTATACCAATTAACTGTAGTTCAGCCAACTAATTTTGTATAATAAGTTTACTACACTTAGACAACGCGCAACAACAGACCGGTATAGTCTTCCCGGTTCTTTCACAAAAATGAAAAAGTGTCACTAAGATGTTGCTACTTGTGGTGAATACGAATCAGAAGACTCAAGGGTTCCGGATTAGCTGTTCATTGTACGGCAACTCCACACTTGAAATAGCGTAAAATAGAGGACACAACGAAACGCAGCCAACCTTCCAGCCCGTCGGCCGGAGAAAGAAAAAGAAAGATATAGTTTTCCTCTCACGCGTAGTGAGTGTATAATATTAGAAACCCATTTGAAGCATCAATTCTTTCTAGTATCATTTCATTCTCTAAGCGCTTAGGCTCAGCAGAAGTTTCATTTCTTAATGCTAAAGGAATTTTACGGAAAGGTTGTGATTTTGGTAAAATACTGGCATCAACCATAGGTTTATGCATACAACCTTTGATTTTCGCGAATTCTTCGCAGTCACTCCCTCTACTTCTAGTTACTGTACACACTTGTATTCCATTCGGAGAATTTATCCGAAATTCCAGATAATCAAATAAATCAATTCCAGTCATACAGTTACCTCGTTTGGACACATAAAATTCGATTACGTCATATGAATTTTCTTCAAATTTGATATTACATTCAATTGTACCCAAAACTTCAATTTCGCTGTTATTGTACGATAACAATATAGATGTCGGTTTTCTAATCGGTAAATGACTAAAAAGAGCATTATACAGTCTTTCGTTTACAATTGACATTTTTGATCAAAGTTCGATAATGAGACTTACAGACTTTTCCTCTAAATACACGACGGCTTAAATTTGCTTAAATTAGCTGTGTTTGCAGAAAACACCTTTGAAATTACCTGACACTTATTTGTATTCAACGAATTTTGTCTATCAACAGTGTTGACATTGTTACGTTTCCTCGATCTGCAACAGCGTGAATAATGATTAAGTTTACCCAATGACATTAAACAACATGATGCGCAACTCCGGCATTTTTGTCCGAGGATCGTATTCGATAGCACGCTCCAATGCACATACTTGACGAGACGAAAACGAGCGGATGTGTGCTGCTTTCAAGGCGTAGCACGAATGGTGTTCGTGCCTGCTTTGACAGTTGTTGTCGATTTTAATGATATTTTTGAAAGTTGGGGTAAAAAGAAATCGGTAAAAGGTAAGGTGAATACTATTGTTGTATATCACACCCGGGCATCGCACTGTTAAGTACATGTGGGAAAGCCAGCCTTTGTCAAATACTACGAAGTTATTAATTCAGTACGGTACGTAGTTGCCCATTTGCCGAAATTACATATTTACTTACCCGTTATGGTTTCAAATAGTTCATGCACCTCCAGTTAGATTTTTTTAATCAGTGAGGATATATACTCATTGTTGATTGCTGCTCATTGTAACATACTATTACGCATTCACTTTTATTTGCGTATTGAATCAAAGTGTTAACAAGTTCACCTAACATTTCACTCATACCGGTCTA